ATGCCCAGTGAAGCCACACGCCCAGGCACTGAGACGCTGACAGGGCTGGCAGAATAAAATGTGCAAACACAAATCTAAACCTGGGTCCGTCCCTGGATGTCCATTCCTATAGGTACTGTAATTCAATGTTTGCTTTTAAATCCTGAAACTGTTCTGTGACCAGGCTACTTTGTATTTTCATTTGTTGATCACATTAATTTATTACATGTAAACCTTTATAATTTGCCACTATCTTCTCCTCTTTTGGCCCTCATTAAAAATAAAATACATCAAGAATCCCAAAAGACCCCGAAAGCATCAGATGCCTTTCTCAACCCAGAGTTGGTTCATCGGAGTGTTAACATCAGAAAAGGTCCTCACAGTAGTGAACTGAAGTCACCTCCCTGCTGGTTCCACGGTGGTCCTGAGTCGGATTTGCAGAGCTGCACAGAGCAGAGCTGCGCCTTGTGGCCCCCACATGCCTTTCAAGGACCCTCCCTCCACCTCACACCTCCAGCTGTGAGGCAGGCAGGCAAAGGCACAGGAGAAGCCCCAGCCTTGGCAGCATGTGTGGCACCTCTGAGCTGTTGCTGAAACATGCCCAATTTGCTGCAAGGGCTTGGGCAAGCATGGGATAAGAGGGTGAAGCTAAAGCTAGACACTTGTTCCAACATGAGGGGCAAACAGATACTCTGGGTATCAGCAAATAGTGACCACTGCATGTGGTCCAGATTTCCAGAGATTCTAACTCTGGGCATCTGAGGTGGAGCCCTCCTCCCCCATCATTACTACCACCTCAGGTGACCACTGAGAAACTCTGGTTCAATCCTATCCTTTAGGGCATCTGTCCTACCAACCCACCTCTGCCCCCCCACCCCACCCCACCCAGATCGGCAGCTGGATGGTTCACACATCAGGCAACCAGAACACCTGGTGCAGCCCTCACCACCTCAGCGCCTGCTGCGGTTGGATTTATTACATGCCCACATTGCATCCTATTATGCTCTGGGAATGAAAGCTTCCATAAATGTGCTCGGACTGGGCTCCAAGAGATCTGGGAACTGAGAGAAACTTTCTTTCTCCCCAGCCAGGATACACATCCTCCTAGAAGGGCCCAGCCTTTTTCTCTCAAGGGGAAAGCTCCAAGCCTCACCGAGAACAGCAACCATTTCCTTCTCACCCTCCCAGGGTTCAGCTCCATCCTCTCTGGGTCCATTGGGGGAGGCCCGTCCCCCAGCCTCAGATGCACTAATGAAAAGCACCAAGGGCAGGCACCAATGTTCAGGGAGGAGCTGCCACATGCAATGCCCAAGAGCCAGGAGCAGGCAAGGCTGAGATGCTGCCTGGTTGATCCCTAAGGTGCAGGCAGAGGGGACAAAGGCAAGTGAGAGCAGAGTCACTGCTACCTTCTGAGGTGCCTTTGTGCACGTGTGAAAAGCAAACTCTCTGGGCAGAGAAGTCCCACGTTAGGGCGCCTGGCTTGGCAGGTGGTGGAGAGGCTGGATTTTAGCCACCACTTGCCCTAGATGCCCTAGTGCAGTAAACCACTGGAACAACTGTGACAGCACTACTGAGAGAGAACAGCAGAGGGAGGAGACAGAAAGGAAGAAGAAAAGCTACCACGGCCATTCAAGGCCCATCACAACTACCCCTTACCCTCTTCTCACTGGGTCCTCACGGAAGGCCCATCCAGACTGGTCCTCAGATCTGTTCCCTCAGTGGGCCCTCAGCATTTTTCCCAGCCAGTGGCAGGTCACCTTTCTGTGGCCACATCTTCCCTTCCCCAAAACTATATAAGTCTGTCTAACTTTCCACAGACACCTGGCACAAGGCGGCATGCAGTAGGCACTCACTGTATACATACTGACTGTGATTGAAAACTGTGGGATGAGGCTGAAAGGACTCCTGAGTTTGGCCCTAGTTTGACTACCAGTGACCCTTGGGGTCACCTGGGGGAAGGACCCCATCTTCCACCTCAACTATGAGGGGCTGTGGACAATCGAATAATCTCCAAGGGTTCTGACGGCATGGAAGACTAGTCTTACGAGATTCAGAGCTCCTGGTCCCCACCAGCCAGGCTTTCCCTCCTGATACATCAGTGTCCAGCATAGTACTTGGCCCAGACTAGGCACAATGTAGTATATGGGTTGCCCCAGTCTCTATGTTTTGGCACCTGAGCATTTATTTAACTTGGTGTTTTATTTAGCAAACCACAGACATCAAACTTGACCAACTCAAGCAAAAAGCCCTACTGGGAAAGACCTGCTATGGGGTTTCTTGTGCAATCAATGGGAAGACTGGAGAACCAGACTTGGAAAACAGGTACACAAGTGGGTGCACGCGCGCGCGCGCGCGTGTGTGTGTAACCACAGATGAAGGCAGGCACAGGGAAGATCTAGGATAGTATGGCCCCTGACCACCTCTTCCACCACCGGTCACTGCCCAGCACTAACCAGTTGCTGCCATGATACAAATGTATTCTGAACTGCCACTAGTTCGCAGCCTAAGTCCCAACAGGGGCATGTGACTGTCATATGCCTGCACCCTAATTGCCATGAATGGGGAAGGAGGTGCTCATGCGTCCACATTCCTCAATGGGATGGCTCTTCATGTGCAAGGCAGCCAAAAAATGACAAATGGCCACTCTGATGACCCCATTCCCCAGGCCAAACAGATTATTTGCTCCAGGAACTTAGAAAAGGAGCTATAGTGTGTTGAATAGTGGTTCCCCAAAAGATCATCCACCTAGAACCTCAAATTGTGAACTGATTTGGAATAAGGGTCTTTGAAGCTGGAACTAAAGTAAGGATTTCAAGATGAAATCATTCTCGATTGAGATGGACCCTGAATCCAATCACAGAAACACAAAAGAAAGAGGCAGAGATTGAAGTGGTGCCGTTAGGAGCCAAGGAATTCCAAGCACTGCCAGGAGCAACTAGAAGCCAGGAGAGGCACTTGATGGAGTCTCTCTCAGAACCTCCAAAAAAGAGCCTCCCTGCTGACACTTTGATCTTGAATTCTGACTTCCTGAGCTGTGAGAGAATAAATTTCTGTTGTTTTAAGGTCCCACGTTTGTGGTAATTTATTACAGCAGTCGGGAAAATAATACAGAGGCCCAGAGCCGTCATCAGGTTGAAGGAAGTCGGGGCCGTGGGAAGCTGAAGCAGGGAGAGAAACAGAGGCAGGCAGACTGGGGACTCCTGCCTACTACTACTGTAGGCTTACTCAAATGCCAGCAACCCATGGGTTCCTTGAGACACCCAGGAGCACCCAATTAATTTCCCTTTCTTGCTTGAGCTGGCTAAAGCCACTTTTTATAACTTCTAACACAACAACAGCCTTTATAGATGAAGCTTACAGCCTCCCCCACCCCCAGGCAGGGGGCTATGTGGAGTGCAGTGGGAGAAACCAGGACTGGGTAGAGCCCCACAAGCCAAAAGACAAGCACTGGTCAGCCAGCCAAAGTGGTTTCTGCCTCAAGAGAACGCCCCTCCAGAAAGGGGCCAGTGTCCTAATTGGCTCTGAGGACAGCAGGCCAGGTAAAAGACTGAGGCCACCACTCAGACACCATGGAGAGGGGGATAAAACTTTGCTAAAAGGTGTTCATTTTGTTTTCCACCTGGCCACCATAACTGGGTGCTCTTCTTCAATGACTGTTTTCCCTTAAGTATCAAGCTGGGGGTGCCTGGGCCTCCACTGCTCCAGGTGGAGCGTTGTTACCAGAGAAAAGCCACTCCTGGCAAGTAGAATGAAAACCTGCTACAAGAGGAGCCCCACTAAGGGAAAAGGGGGAGGGGTGCTTGCTACCCTCTCTCCTGTGCCAGGAAAGCCCTGTCCCCTTGTTAGCTCCCACTGGAGGGGCTTCACAGGATGTAAGAACGCAGATGCAGGGCAAAAGGGAGGCGTAGGGTAAGGGCTCCCCGAAGAAAGGAGATTCCCACAGCGTTGTGGCTTGGGGGGAGGTGTTGGAGAGGGTCAGCCAAAGCTCCATCCAACTTGGGAAATCAGGCTGTTCCTTTACTCTCAGCACTGTTCCCCCCGCCACTGCCCCCACCCCCAGGTGAAGGTGAGCAGGGCCATTCCCCATTCTATTTGGACAGGGTTTTCCCCAGGTTCTGAGGGCGCTGCGTCCCGTAACCATTCATTTGGCGCTCCGCTACGAAATCACCAAATCACCGTGCCGAGTGTCCCACGAACATCTCACATAACCCTCAACAGGGTAGACCTTGTGCCCCAATTTGCACATGAAGAAAATGAAGTCAAATCACTTGCCCAAAGTCAAGCTGCCAGTAAGCAGCCCAAAAGAGGAAGCAAACTCAGGATCCCAGCTGGCTCCAGGTTTCCGCTACTCGCTGCGCTGCTCACACTTTCCTGTGCCCCGCCTCTCCATCCTACCCCAGCGAGGGGCACCCAGCCCGCCCCCAGAGGAGCGTGCCTCGGTGGCTAATCGCGGGCTACCCCCACCCCCATTTTCACTGCCTAGAGACGCCCCGGCCGGCTTAGTCCGGAGACGGCTCCCCAGGCTGCGCGACACCGCCGATTGGCCCGCGGTAATTACGGGCACGCTCCAGGAGGGGGGAGGGGCGGGGGCGGCCCCCCGCGAGCATAAATTATGCAAATACCGGGCGCCGCACGGGGCTGACCTGCCGCCTCACTCCTTTCACGGGGGCTGCCTCCGGGGCGGAGGTGGCCAAGGAGGGGGGCGCCCATTGTTGTGCCGGGTACTTAAGGGGTCCTGAGGCCGGTCGTGTGCCACACTCGGTACTCACACGAGCTGATCTGATTGCCAGCGAGATCACTCGGGAGACCGGCTGGAGCGTGGCCCCTGCAGGCGAGTCCAGGAGGAGAGGCCAAGTTCCCGGTGCGTCCCAGCACCCTTCCAGGCCTTCGTGCCCGCAGCGGGCACAGAGTAAGAACGGGCTGTTCGGAAAGTAAGTGCGCTCCGGTGGCCCTGCCCTCAACTTGGGCTCCTGCCCTGTAAGTGCTCTCTAATCTGTCCGTCGATCCTGCCCGACGCAGCGATGCCAGCCCCTCTGGAGACCTGCCTCTCAGACCTCGATTGCCCCAGCAGCAGCAGCGACCTGTCCGGCTTCCTCACCGACGAGGAGGACTGTACCAGGCTCCAACAGTCAGCTCTTGCCTCGGGGCCGTCTGTGCCGGCCCACAGGGGCGCACCCGCGATTCCTGGGGCGTCCGATACTCCCCGGGCACAAGACGACGAGCAGGAGCGGCGACGGCGCAGGGGCCGCGCACGGGTGCGCTCCGAGGCGCTGCTGCACTCGCTACGCAGGAGCCGGCGTGTCAAGGCCAACGACCGCGAGCGTAATCGCATGCACAACTTGAACGCTGCGCTAGACGCGCTGCGCAGCGTGCTGCCTTCCTTCCCCGACGACACCAAGCTCACCAAGATCGAGACGCTGCGCTTCGCATACAATTACATTTGGGCTCTGGCCGAGACTCTGCGCCTGGCTGACCAGGGTCTGCCCGGGGGTGGTGCCCGGGAGCGCCTCCTACAACCACAGTGCGCCCCTTGCCTGCCCGGGCCCCCCAGCCCCGCCAGCGACGCTGAGTCCTGGGGATCCGGCGCCGCAGCCTCCTCTCCACTCTCTGACCCCAGTAGCCCCGCCGCCTCCGAAGACTTCTCCTACGGTCTCGGCGACCCCCTTTTCTCTTTCCCCAGCCTGCCCAAAGACTTGCTCCAGACAACGCCCTGTTTCATCCCTTACCATTAAGCCCTTTTTGGACCCCGTTACCTCTTCCCTCCCCCAGACAACAGACAGTAGCGGATGGGGCCCCAACTGTGGCGTCGGGACCCTCAGTCCAGGCCGGAGGGAGTAAGCAGGAGCTTTAAAGGGACGGGGGAATACCTGAGCAGGAGCTTTAAAGGGACGGGGGAATACCTAACAAAGGTCACTGCACCCTCGCCATGGCGTCCCCTTGGTCTGTTTCTCCAGCCTTCGGCCCCAGGCCCCTCCTGCCCACCCCTAGACAGCCTTTCCTTTTGCACTTTCTGAACTCCACAAAATAGCCTTTGTGGCTGGCTCAGAGCTGACCCCAGCCACCACTTCAGTGTGATTTAGAAAAGGGACAGATCAGCCCCTGAAGACGAGGTGAAAAGTCAATTTTACAATTTGTAGAACTCTAATGAAGAAAAACGAGCATGAAAATTCGGTTTGAGCCGGCTGACAATACAATGAAAAGGCTTAAAAAGGAGAGACAAGGAGTGGGCTTCATGCATTATGGATTCCGACCCCCACCACTGTGGGCTTTGCTCTAGGAAGAACCCTAGACTCTTGCGTAGCTATTCAGGCATGGGGGTGGAGAGTACTTTAATTTATTCAAGATGCTTCATTCATATGAAAATGTATTTTTGTACATAAAGAGTTTATTCTATTATAATGAGCTATCAAAGTTTACATTTTTGTACTGCAGATGTTTCATGTAAATAAAAACTAAGTCACCAAGTCTCTGGCCTAATGTTGGTGTCTCTCTGGGGCCTTTCTTCCCTCCCCCTCGCAGTTCAACCACTAATGTGAAACACTATCCCAACCCACTTTCAAACACTCTAGTCCTGTTTCAAAAACAATTTAAAATAAACTACACCTGATTTCCACCATGGAATGGATAAAGATAGGCCAGGGAGTTTGATCTGTCATTTCCTTTCACCTTGTAAACACAGGGGAGATCTTGCAGGCTTCCTATAAGCCAATTAATACTTTTTAGTGGGGAATTAGGCCCAGACACCCAGCTACCTGTAGAGGTAGGGGCGGTGGGAGACCCATTCTTTTGGGGAACTCCACATCAGCTGGCTCTGTGTTTCAAAGAGAGGGGGATTAAAAAGATCAATACAATGTGACCACTGCTGAGGAAGTCCCAGTGACAGGTGGGCCTAGCCTGGGCAAGCAGAAGGGTCCACTCTTATAACAGCCTATTTAGAGGGGAAAATTGATTGGTAAACAATACCTCCGAATTGTTGCCCATTGAGGCTAGGATCACCCTGGCTGTGAGGTGTGGAACAAATTACATTGGTGTGGTGGCCCTGGGTGAGGTGTGCAGCTGCCTAAAATTGTGTTAGGGTGTCTGCACCTCCTCTCAACATGCCCCCCCCACCACACACACACATGCTGTGCCCACAGTAGAGGGGGACCTGCAGTGGGCTCAGTCCTGGCTTGCCTAGCCAGTCCTGGGGGCAACAACCAAAGCTTTCATTTGCTGCCAAAGAAATCAGCCGCCCAAACTCAGTGGGGATTTTTCTGGCTGCAGTGTATTCTCTGTTGTTTGACAATTAGCTAACAGCACTGGCCAATGGTGGCTTTTGTTTTAAATTTTAGAATGCAGATACTTGCGAGAGACAGTTCCCACTTGTCTATTCCCCCAGCTCACAAGTTACCCCACACTGGGACCAGAACATTTCACCCACTGGGTTGCCCCTTTTCAGCAATACAATTATTTAGTGGGAGGCGGTACACATGAGTTTAGGAAAATAGTATTCTATAGCATTAGAGAAATCAGATCTATTTAGGAGGGAAATAGAAGCAGAGAACCAGAAGTAAGGCCACTACCAGCATTTTCCCGTGTAGAAGTGCTTTCCCTCCTCACGTACGTGTCCCAGTGAGCGGGAGCCACGGATGCACAGGCTGGGCCCCCGGTAGGCATCACTAAGCCCAGCCATGGGCAAGGAGTCCTCTTTTAGATGAAAAAAAAAATGCTCCTTTTGGAAAGTTCTGGAAAGTTGAATACCTTCTCTAACTGCCCTCAGAGCAGAGACAGAGTCATCCCAGAAAAGCTTTAGATGTTATGAGGGCTCAGAGCAGAGTTGCTTCTGCTAAAAACTCCAAGGAAAAAGTTGTGTCTCTTGAATGACCCTGCCTGGGGCCCCACTCTATTGTCTGAGTCAGAATTAATTCACCCTACTAGCTTTGCATTTTCCTATAGCAAAGGACACAAATGGTCTGATTTTTCTGCTCTCACGTGCATAGGATGCTTGGAAGTGTCCATCTCCAGCTTTCTAAGGGGCATAGGCTCGGTATGGGAGAAGGGCAGGTCACCTATGAGGCCTCTGTTCAGCCATGGTGTATAGGTGCATATGTTTGGACCAGAGGGAAAGAACAGCTCACTATATTTATCATTGTCCAAAATCTTTGGGGAAACCAGCAGAAACACCGCAAACGCCCCTGGAGCTCACGGCTGCAGCAGGAGCTTTGTCTCACACAACAGCACATAGCCAACTCTGAAAACAGAAAATGTTGCCATCCCTGGGACTGAACCTGTTCGCAAACCAAATTCCAAACTCCATTGCCAAAATAGACTAATGTCTCAAGGTGCATAGCACCTCCCATGTAAAGAAACATGTTTAACAACATGGACTGCTGAGGGCATTCACCCCTGCCAGTTAATACTGTTCTTCCAAAGATGCAAGTATGTATGTGCAGCTCTTGGAGCTCCCAAATAGAAGAAAAGAAGAAAGGTGATTAAAAATGCTTATCCTTAGCTCAGTGGCCTCTTTCTTCCTGCAGCGAACTCCTGTTTGTCTGCTGGCATCTGGGAAGACAGGCTGGGGGTACCTGGAGTATTCTAATCAATTACAGAGCATAGAACTTCCCACTCACAGCCAAGTTTCACTTCCTCAACAGGATCTTCACTGCGGAATTATCGGGCATTTAGCAAGGTTTATTTATTCTGTATCCTGATCTATTTGCTTCTGTCCTGGTGTAACATGTCTACTTTACAGCCTGCTCCCAAGCTTTTGAGAAACCAGGATGGGAAGACTGGGACATCAAAGCACAATGAAGCATTTATTGTCTCTTTTTTTCTTTTTAAATATATTGTATTGATTATGCTATTATAGTTGTACTAATTTTCCCACTTTGCCCCCCTCTACCTGGTACCCCCCTTCTCTCCAGCAATACCACCCCCTTAGTTCACATCCATGGGTCATGCATGTAAGTTCTTTGGCTTCTCTATTTCCTATACTGTTCTTCACATCCCCCTGTCTATGCTGTACCTACCAATTATGCTTCTTAATTTCTGCACCCATGCCCCCATTCTCCCTCTTCCCCCACCAAGTTGATAATCCTCCAAAGGATCTCCATATCTATGATTCTGTTCCTGTTCTAGTTGTTTGCTTAGTTTGTTTTTTAAGATTCAGTTGTTCATAGTTGTGAATTTGTTGCCATTTTAATGTTCGTAGTTTTGACCTTCTTTTTCTTAAGTCCCTTTAACATTTCACCTACTAATGGCTTGGTAATGATGAACTCCTTTAGCTTTACCTTGTCTGGGAAACACTTTATCAGCCCTTCAATTGTAATTGACAGCTTTGCTGCATAGAGGAAATTAGGTTGTAGATCCTTGCTTTCCATCACTTTGAATAGTTCTTTCTAGTCCCTTCTAGCCTGAAGTTTCTTTTGAGAAATCAGCTGACAATCTTATGAGAACTCCTTTGTAGATAACTCTCTGCTTTTCTCTTGCTACTTTTAAGAGTCTCTCTTTATCTTTAACCCTTGGCATTTTAATTAGGATGTGTCTTGGTGTGGTCCTCTTTGGGTCCAACTTGTTTGGGACTTTCTTGCTTCCTGGACTTGTATGCCAATTTCCTTTGCCAAATTAGGGAAGTTTTCTTTCATTATTTTCTCAAATTAGTTTTCAATTTCTTGCTCTTTCTCTTCTTCTTCTGGCATACCTGTGATTCAGATGTTGGTATGTTTGGAGATATCCCAGAGGCTCCTTATACTATCCTTTTTTTTAAAGTCTTTTTTTCTTCTTGCTATTCTGGTTGAATGCTTATTTCTTCTGTATGTTCTAAATTGTTGATTTGAATCCTGGCTTCCTCTCCTTCACTGGTGGTTCCCTGTAGGTTTTTCTTTATTTCACTTAATGTAACCTTCATTTCTTCCTTTATGTTGTTGCTGTACTCAGGGAGTTCCCTGAGCATCCTGATCACTAGTGTTTTGAACTCTGCATCTGATAGATTGGTTATCTCCATTTCATTTAGTTCTTTTTCTGGAGTTTTGTTCTCTTCACTCATTTGGGCCATATTTCTTTGTCTCCTCAATTTGGCAGCCTTCCTGTGTTTGTTTCTGTATATTAGGTAGAGCTGCTTTGACTCCCAGTCTTAGTAGCATGGCCTATGTAGAAAAGGCAACTGTAAATTGTGTGGGGTGGAGCCTTAGGTAATTGCCAGGGCAAAGCAACCCACTCCAGTGCTTTGTGGCTCTGCTGGTGGGGGGGAGGAGTTTCAGACAGGGGACTGTGCTGCTGCCTGGCTTCTGGAGGTTTGCCCGGCACCTGCCCTATTCCCAGTCACTTCACTCACTTCCCGTATGCTACTGTTACTCTTCCAGCTGTAGCTCTGGTGGTGCATCCCAGAGTGCTTGGGTTTGCGTATGTCCTAAGTTCATGGGGGACCTTTAAACAGAGTCCCCTAAAAACCCAGCAGTTTTTCTGCCATCCCAACTCCCATTGGTTTTTACAGCCAGAAGTTACGGGGATTTATCTCCCTGGTGCTGGAACCCTGGGCTGTGTGGTTTGGCCTAGGGTTGGGACTGCTCTCTCCCAGGGTATCCCTCCCAATTTTTATCCACCACACATCAATGACCATTCCACTACTGCCACCACCTCTCTGTGCCACACCTGTCTCTGTACTTCTCTTCCCATCTCTGTGACTTCACCCCTCCTACCTGTCTGGATGAATGTGGTTTCTTTAAAAACTTGGTTGCTGGACTTCCATGCAGCT